AATAATGAAATTTCAAAAATAAGCCCTTTTTAAAGGCTGGTTGTAACAGCCCTGCTGGGTATTGTAAATGCCTCAGGTGCACTCGATACTGCTGTTACGTTCCTGGCGTTGGCTTCTCATTTTTATGGAAAGATGGATTGAACTTCAATTTAAGAATATTCGGTAATCCCTCTCAGGACATACTGTAACAGCTGGTATTTCTGTGTTGCAGCAAATCGATTCCATACAGCAGTCAGCAATGCCTATGGCTGGGCTCCGGCAAAAACTTCCAAAGTATTTTAAATAAAGCGAGCCAAAGAAAATAACATCATCACTGCAAAAATGTAGCTTAATTTGCAAGTTTGGGGGGTGGGGGTGGGGGGGGCCAACCCCATTCCATTCCAGCAAAATATTAAGCATTTTACTGGTAAGGATTTCATCAGGTCATTTATTTTTCATTAATATATATTTAGGATCTGGGGGGAATAACTTTATGCTGTATATAAGGTTCTTAAATAATAAGGAGCTTGAATTTTTTTAATATTGAATGATTTACTGTGAAATAAAGAAAAATAAACTCATTGAGTTTAAATACATGACATGTATGTAGATCAGCAAGGCTTTCCACGTTTCGCAGCGAACTTTTTTTAAGGAACCTGAATTCCTGATTGATAATAATGCACCTATAATGAGAATGCCTTGCATGTTTGGGTTTGGTTCTTTTTTTTTTTTTTTTTAACAGTTGAAAGTACTTTAAGCTGCATATAAATCAAAGACATCACATTAATAGTAAAACATTGTTTTAACCAGTTTCTTACACGTGTGAAAACTAAAAATGCCTCCATCCTTCATACGGCTGTAGTGGTGTGCGCACGCTGGGGATTGTAAGTGAGCTTAGAACATGACTTCTCCTTTATGGCGCTTGAATGTGTTAAAAAGAAAACAAGCAGAATTAATGCAAAGTGAATATGTTCCTTCTTAATTGGTACAGCGTGTCCTTGGCTACGATGTCTTTTTTTTTTTTTCTTTTTTTCCCTTTTAAACTGCACCCTGGCTAGATTTGCATATAGATGTTTTACAACTTTGTCATCATAAGATGAGCTTTCACTCTGAAATACTTAACTTCCTTATCTCTGTTTTAAATTTTAAGTTAATGGACTTTGTGCTGATTTGATGAATGTCGAAATATTTTTTTTGGAAGCTAATGCTTTTTTAGTGAAAACTTACTTTTTTTCCTTCACCACAAACTTTTATAACTAAAAAAAAAAAAAAAACCAAACCCTAAAACAATCTTAATAGATAGGTTTTTAAGTTTTATTTGATCCTTTTCGTCATAGAAGAAGTTATCCAGGGCTGTAACTTCTGCTGTATTTGCCGCCTTAAAAAAAAAAAAACAAACCCCAAACCAGATTCACTGGAGTTTGAAAGCTGACATGCAAAATCTTTCTTCGGGTAAACGCTTAGGGGAGAAAAAAAAAGAACTTTAAAAAGTTGCCAGACTATTTAAACTATAGGCTTATGCCTAGGGATGAGTTAATGAGTATCTTATATCTAATAATTGATTTAAAACTTATTACACAAAGTCTTGTGGATATCCCTTAATATGTTGCAGTACTTTTAGCAATGTGGGGATCTTTTTGGTGAAAAACAAAATTTTGAACAGCATACAGTGTTTACAGCACCTGTATATTACTCTTCCACAAGACTGTTGCCAAGTACAAATGTGTCCAAAATATGCATTTCCAGAGCCAAGATAACTTCAGAAATCATTCTGATTAATATGAATGTGTTTAAAAAAAAAACCCCAAACCAACAACAAAAACCAAACCAGCAACAGCAGCAGCAAAATGCTCTTCTATTTGTTTATTTTCTTATGCTAAAGCAGAACTATGCTGCTTGCTTTCTTCAAGGATCTTTTTTGTTTACTGGAATCTGGAGAAAAACCTTGTTTTCTGTTAGCATCTACTTCCCCCTCTCCCTTCCTTCTCGCACATCAGCCCTTGCCCTGCTACTAGTAAACATTTCCAGTCCTAACTCTGAATTTCTTTTCACAAGTTTGTGTTCCAGTTTCATATTTTAACATACCTGAATTTAAATACACTCGCTTACATTTGAAATTGGTTTTTACTTTTGTTACATTTGCTCTGAGTTTTCCTCAAGAACTGGTTAAAAGAAAGACCCAAAATTTGGTATTAGTAGGCCTGTGCAATTATTAAAAAATATGTCTTAAAAAAATACTGACTTTGTAGTAATGAATTACAGAAAAATTCCTTACATGGTCTGCATGATAATGGCTCCATCAACTCCACAAATCAAACTGCTATTTACCTTAAAGAATTGTTTGCCCTGGTCCTGCTTTTTACAACTTCAGTTAAAATATAGATTATATTTCCAGATTACAAATAAAAATTGCATGTCAGATCTTAAATGAACTGAAAAGAATTGAAAGGAGGTTAAGTAGAAACACTGAATAAATTACCATGCTAGTAAGCAATTTCTTCTTCTGGGATAAGTAGTAGCAAAATCTGAGTGACTTAAATTATTCACTGTTTTAAAAAAATAACCCTAGACTTTATTTCCAAAATACCTGACGCTAGAGTTAAAGAGTATAATATATATGAGAGAAACGTGTTAAATTTTTTTTAAAGCAGAATGGGCTTATAGGCTAGACTGAAGAAAACAAAACTTGTTTCACCTGGGGGAAAAAAAAAATCTTAAGTCATAAATAAATGCAAAGCACTTTGTTTTGAGAGTCTTAAATCAAAAGCTTATTTTGTGATAATGATTGGATTTGGTTAGCTGCAGTAATTTACAGTTTAACAATGTTCGTAATTGTAAAATTCTGTTTCTGTTCTTTCTAGGAGAAACTGGGAGATAGCATAAATCTTTGTAGACAACTTGGCTGCAAGCAGTTAAACTGAAATTAACTTCTGCCTTCTGGCTGCAGAGTGCTAGTCTGACATTCCTGCGTGATACTCTGCAGACTAAATCATGCCAGCGTTATCAACTGGATCTGGAAGTGACACAGGTACGCAAGCCAAGGAGGACTGCATGCTTCCTCTAGATCTTATTTGTTAAGTCTACGGTCTCTATTTCAAGAAATAGTCACATAAGATAATTAATTATGATCTCAACAGATGCTTAATTTAAGACTTGAAACATAACCTCTTCTCCCTGAAGTTAATTTAGATATATGAAACACCACAGGTAAAATAAATTAATTTTTAAAAGTCCCACCACCATCATCTTCCCCTCCATCCCCCACCCCCAAAAAAGAACAACTCCAAACAGATACTAGATATGGATCTGAAGAATTTGGATTCACCTCTGAGCATGATTCCTACAACGTTAACTTGAAAAAGTCGGAGGAAAAAAAGATGATATCATACATGCCTTAATATTTGCAGCAGTCTAGACTATCTCCTCTGTGAGTTACAGTTATCAGTGGAGTTATTTCTGAACACAGACTATTTAGTTTTGACACTTCTTTAACAAATTAGGAGAAGAAAAATACTGTCTCCAGTTCTCTTCCTACTCTTGCCTTTCACGTCCGAGTCCAGTTCCTGTCACTGACTGCAGGCAGTGGGAGCGCAGATATGTAGCTTTCCATAGTTTTCACCTTCTTTGTCGCAATACTAGGCTATATTCAAAGGTTAAATCTCATCTTGCTGTTACGTGTACATTCTCTGTCTGCCAATATTTTTGTCCCTAGTTTAGGGACAACTAAAGTTAGTATTTTTCTTCAAGGGTGTTTGGTAAATAGGTGATCTGGCTGAGGTTACAATACAAAGATCCCTGCTTTCCACCCCTGTGCTTGTGATTTTAGATCACACAGTTTTATGCACAAGAAGTAACAGCAGGATTTTGAAAACAAAGAGGGGGATTTCAAGTCACGAATCCAAAAAATATGTATATAATGAACGGCATTTGATTCTTATTTTAAATAGACTGTATAGTGCAGTGATTTTTTTTCCACATCTCCAGTCCATGTAAAATTTATCTTAGATGAAAAGATTAATCTTTAGAGTTGTGTGTGTGTGTGTGTTTATTTATTACCATGGGGAGGGAGGGTTGTGTTTGGTTTTATTTGCTTTTTTTTTGTCTCCCTGTTCCTGTGTTTAAGGGATTTGACTATCATCTTGCCAAACCCTACCTCTACATACCTTTCTTTTCTCCCCCTTCCCCCATGGAAATAAGTGTAGTTGAAGCTGTTTAGTATGCTAAAGCTGAATTTTGGAAGATTTGTCAGGTCTACTCTGGGCTGATTTTCCGCTCTGGATCTTTGCTCTCTTTATCATGCAACCTTTTGTGTTCTTCCAAAACTTAACTTTTTTTTTTTTTTTTAAATTATTACTTGGCCAAATGCTTTCTGACATTTCAGAAGTCTCAAGAACATGTTGAGATGAACAGCAGGGGGATTGTGTGATGACTGGTGCCTGATGCTGACAATTTTGCTTGTTTTATTGTTTAAAGAATGTTCATGTGTCCAAAAGTGATAGTCATGGACATACTCTCTGAATAAAGAAAGAAAAGTGCTCCAAAAAGGGGTGGGGGTGGGGGGGGAGGAATCCTAATTTTAAAATTTTGTGTATGTTAAAGTGTCTCTAAAACTGTGTTTTGCTGTGCTATTTAATGCATATGATGCTCCAAATATACCTTTAATAATTATGGTGTGTGATAAAGCTCAACTATCTCCATTCTCCCAGGAAATCTATAGTATAATATGGTATGTACCATTAATATCTTGCTGTTAAATAATACTGCCTGTTAAATCCAAATTGTTTTCTGCTGCAAGTTGTAAATTGTTCCAAATAAAAATTTGCATTTGGAGGGAAAAGGGAATTACTTATGTTCTTCCACTTTGTTTACAGTATTTCCTGGTGGGGATGATAGGTATTTAAGTATTTTTTGAATTATCACATCAAACTGTGCTTTCTGTCGTGGTTATAAAACAGGTGGTTTCTAATCAGAGCCCTGTTTTTCTGCTATTACTGTCACTCTCAGATTTAAAAAAAGAGAAACACAAAAAACTTGCATATTCTTACCTCTGTTGTTCCTTGGTGGGTAGACCAGTTTTCCTCTCGCCCTGCCTGCATAAACTGGTGGTGTGACATGTAATGAGCTGAAACTGCTCTAGTCCGTGAGAGGACTGTCTGGGACACTGCGGAGTTAGCAAGTCCCTTAGTGGGGACCTAACAAAACTGCACCTTTGGGGTGGGGACGCAACTTCATTTAGTCTGTCCGCTCAGACTCTGTTATTAACGCATTCAAACAAAACCCCAGCGTAGCTTATTTTTGTGTCTGTTATATCCTGGTGAGGTGAAAGTAAACCTGGATTTAAAAATGGGCGAAGGCACTCATTGAGGACTAGTAAATAGAAATGCATTATCTGTGAATATCGGAAAGTTGCCTGGTCATGGACTATGGGAAGTATGGAAGCATTGATGATTTCTTTTTTTTTTTTTTTTTTTTTTAAAACATAGATACAGTCTCAGGCATCAGACCACTGTCAAAAGCAGGATAGTGTTCATGATGGGCCACATTTGATCAGACTAAATGTTGACCTACTCATGTTAACCTTACATTGTTTTTACTTTGTCAGCAGACTTTATTAGGGATGTCACCATGTCCTTGCAGCTGCTTCCTTCATATACTTATACATGCTTTTGTTATACCGCTTTTTAACCTGTATATTCTTCTGAACACAGACCATGCCTCTTAAATCTGTTTTGAGAGGCATTTACCAGACTTTAAACTATGACAAATCAAAAGCATGGCTACAATATTTGCAATCTTTTGTTTAAAACATTTGTTTTCATTAATTTAGATTCATCAAGTGACTTTGAAATTAGTCTTGTACCTTATCAGTCTAATCTGGCATCTTAACTTTAAGATGGAGGAGAAAGGCTTATGGGGGCACATGCTTCATTCTCTTCCACTCTCCATTAGCCATGTAGAAACCCTGTTTTTACATAATAATAATAATAATAATAAATTACTTGTTTGTAATATGTGCATGGTCCTGCTCCTCCCTTAAGGTTTATAGTCCTGTCAGTGTCAGGTCAAAATGATCTTAAAGCAGCCATCTTGAATGGAAGGCTGAGCTCCTGCCTGAGGCTGCATCTGAAGCTTCAAATATTTCCTGTGTTGCAAAAGTCTGCTTGAACTCTGTGTGCAAGCCCATCAAATCGAGTTTGAAGACTGAGCCAGAAGACTTGCACTGTTGCAGGTAAAGCAAGTCTGAGATCTGGCGTTCGCTTATCTGATGGATCTGGGAAGATTTAAGTTTGCAGTCCTGGCTTCACAGTAGTTGATGGCAGCTTCGTTGCTGACTTTGGTGGAGCCAAGATGACATCATTATGCTTTAAGTGTTGTTTTAGTGTGAAAAACATCGTAAAATTGTTACAGATTTCTTTCCTCTCAACCCTGTATCAAGCTTGCTCAGCTGACGAGTTTAAAAATGCTTTTTTGTTTGTCCTTAAAAACTAGCCCACGAATATGCAAAGCAGACTTTGTGTTTTTGATTTGTGTTTTTTTTCAGGAAAATCACATTTATGGGCCAAGTTTGGCGACCAAGTAAAACTGTGTGAGATTGCTTAAATATAATGAAAGTCAGAAGCAGTTCTTGAATTTGAATATTGTAAATTATAGAAAGAAAATATGTGCAGGGCTTATGTTAGTTTCTTCTTGAGTACATATAGGAGCTAGTGCTGTGCCAGATAGTGGAAGTTTTTTTCAGTATTACAAGCCTGTAAAACTGAATTCACGTTAGTTTTTTAAATTAAAAAAACCCAACACATTTGTTACTAACCAAATTGTAAATTGACGTGGCCTTTAAAATATACCCGGTTTTGGTGTTTTCTTCTCTGTTTTGTAATAATACAAAATAAAGACATGAAACTTGGTCTAAATGTTAGGTATTTTTCCAAACTGCATTTTTAGTCATATATTCTGTGATTCTTCAAGAATTATCTCGACCTCTGAAGCTGCATGCTGTTGATGTGGATGTACTGAATACCAGTAGAAATATTTTGCTAGAACATTATGTTGATGTGATAGCTCCATAGCCCATATGGATTACCTGCCAGTGAAGTGAGACCACTGCGAGACACGTGAAGTTCAAAGACGATTTTGCAATCATCTGAACACCAAAAGATGCTATCCTTGCTTTTACTGTTTTTGTATAGATGTCTTCCCTTTATTTACTACTAATACATTTTAATCAGCTTGACAGTTTTAATATAATCTTTTCTAAGAATGCTTGATAATGGAAAGGATAAAAAGGTGGACAGAAAAAAAAAGAAACAGTAATAACGTAAAGAAAAAGCTGAGTAGTTGACTGAGCTGAGCGGGGGACATCTGTAGGGGAAGAAGGACAAATTAAGCTGAAGTGGCTAAAGATTTTAGCCTTTTAAACCAGTTTTTGGAATGAGGAGGGAGATAGAAATCAGGGAGTTGATTTTTACAGCCTGTTTAAAAAAAACGTAGTAACAGAAAATGGTGGCCAAAGATCTGGGTTCATTCTTACAAGATGAAGAGACGGGGATTTAGGAGAGTGATTAAGGAAAGATTTCTGGGAGTAGCTCTTCCGTCAGAGGCTGCCAGGGTAAAGGCTTGCAGGGCGATTGAATCCCGCTCCAAACTGCATCTGCTTCCCCGCTGATGTGCCACAGTGGAAACGGAGCAGAGGGAAAGCTTTCTCTCGCTTGCTTCACGCCATTGCTTGCGACATAGGCATAGGTGTGTCACTGCAACTGTAGTATGTAAATGTCTTTGGCTGCTTCATGATTTCAAGGCTACTTAATTTCTTACCACATTGAAATGCACAGATATGGCTAGATTTTCATGAAAACAGATATGCTAGCCGAGGCAAAATTTATACTGAATTAATAAATACAGCCAATATTTTACCGTGCATTCTTGAATTCTCCCCATCTCCAGCTGCCAGAGGCATTAAATAGCTTATAGGCTAATGTTAATATGAAAGATTTGGGAAAGTATGAGACGTATGGCTAGCTTTAATTGCTA